CCGCTCCGGCAGTGATGGGGGTGGGTGGGCTCTTCCCCCTCGTGCTGGCCGTGTGGGCTCCCAGCCTCACCTCCTCGTTGTGAAGTTGGGGTGGTGAGCCAGGGCGGGGTGCTCCTGCAGCCTCCTGGAGCTGACATCACCAGGTGTCAGCTGTGCCGTGTCATTCATTTGTTTAACATGCACGCCCAGGGCAGGCACCTGCCCGTGCCAGGCCTCAGGGAGCGTCTGGGTATCCCCAGCCTCGAGGGGCCTCGCCTAGGCAGGAGCAGGGCGTGGGGGTCTGATGACTGCCACCCCTTCTGGTTCAGCCAAGTGGGGGGCGTGTTTCGGGGGGCCCTCCCTGAGCTGCTGCTTCAGTCCAACACAGCCCAGGTGCCTGATGACGGATGGCCCAGGAGGCCCTGTCCCGGTGCTTGGGGGATGGGGGTGGATCGGGCATCGGCCCTGTGCCCCAGGGCAGGGACCCAGGTGGGCCTCATGCATGGCTCAGTGCCACCTCCCTGGGTTCTGGGAAAACAGTGGGGGAACTGGGCTTGTTGCTGCCCCTGCCCAGGTCTCTGTGTGGTCCCTGCTAAAATTAGCCAGCTAGACGGCGAGGGCCACCCCATACCCCGGGATCCCTCTCAGACGTTAACGTGCAGGTGCGTGAGTCCCCCAGGGCCTGGCTGCAGGGCGAGGGTCTGGCTCAGTGGGCCCGGGGCGGGTCGGACATTGTGCATTTGAAGCAAGCTCCTGCAGGACCTGGAGCCGAGCAGGCGCTCAGCGCAAGCACAGGTGGCGACCCTGAGTGTGCCCGGGGAGCCTTAAGAACGCCGCCACCTGGGCCTGCCCCAGCAGCCTCGCTGCTCTGGGGTGCGGCCCGGGCTGAGGGGCTCTCAAAGCTCCCCGACGATGACTGCCTCGGGCTGGGAAGGGACGGACCGCTACCACCGCCACCTGCCCTTGAGGGACGTGGAGCGGCTCTGTCCCAGATATCCGGAGGCCACCGGAAAGGCCAGAGGAGGAGGCTGCTGGTCTCCCAGTTGAGGCTGGCGTGCACTGAGCCGCTCCCCCTCCCATCCCGGCCTGATGCAGCCCCGACCTCGTCCATCCACAGCTTGTCTCCTGCGCTCTGGGTGGCCCACTTCTCCCCCACCCAGAAAAGAGCAGGGTCCTGCCGTGGCTGGCCCTGTCCCCAGGCCTGGCAGACGCCTCCATCCAGCCTTAACCCAGCCTCCCTGGAGAGAGCCGAGGTTCTGGCAGGAGTGCGGCGGTGGAGGCTGTGGCTGTCCCGGGACGCTGGTTCCGAGGGGGGTGGTGCGGGGCTGAGCGGCCGGTGGGGCCGCAGGCCCGAGGGGGGTGGACGGGGTGCGTGTGGGCGTGAGCGTGCGGGCGCCAGTGCGTGTGTCTGTCCGCGTGGCCGTGGGCAGGCTGGTGGCGCAAAGGGAGAGGGGGCGGCTGCTTCCGTGGAGGCCCCGGCGGGGAGGCTCTCTGCCTGAAGCCTCCCTCCCCCGCCCTGGATCCCAGCCCCGGGGCTCCTCCTGGAGAGAGGGACTCGGGGGGCTCAGCTCTCCCACCCTGAGCTGCTCCTGGGGGAGGAGAGGGGCCTCGCTTCCGGTCAGAAGCTTCTGGAAGCTGCCTGCCCCTCCTTGGCCCGGGGCTGACTCGACCTCTCTTTTCTGCAGATTTTCCGCCGTGCGGACAAAAATGGTGAGTGGCCCTCCCGGGTTGCCCGCTGAGCGGGGACGGGCTCTTTCTGTCCTGAGCTTCTGGGGAGAAGGGGCTGGGGGAGCAGGCGTGGGCAGCCTTGTGAACCCAAAGGTTAGCAGTCACAGAAGGCCCAACCCTGGTGCTGGTCCGTGCCTCAGTTTCCCTGTCTGTAAAATGGTCTGCTAATAGTTCCTACTCAGTGGGGGTGCCGTGAGGGTTTGGGGAGGTGGCGCCTCGCCCCTGGGGAGCGTTTGGTGTGCCTTACCCTGCACGTATGGAGGAAGCCCCGGCCTCGGGCCAGGCCCTTTGTAGGCCTCGGCACACTTCCTGCCCAGGGTGACCTGATGCACTTGGTGCTGTTGCCCCGCTTTATCGGTGTCATAGGGGCCCAGAGAGGTTAAGTGACTGGCCAGGGTTGCCCAGCTGCAAGAAAGCCATGGAGGCTCTCCCACGGACCCCCCCACCCCCCGCACCCGCACGCACACGCACACACAGTGTGAGCAGCACATTGCAGCCACGGGGTCCCTCGCTCTGACTCCTGGGAAGGCCCCGCCCACCCCCAGGTGAGGGGCTTGAGAATGGGGCAGTTTAGGGAGAGGACTAGAGCAGCAGAAAGCTCACACCTTATTCTAATGACCTTAGTCGTTATCAGGTTCAAGGCAAGCCAGGGCATGTTCCCTGTCCCGGCCTCAGTTGTCTCGTCTGTAAAGTGGGGTGATGACACTTGCCCCGCCTACTTCCCTGGGCTTTTTGGGAAAAGCCAGGGAGGAGATGTCAGTGACAAACGTGTTTAAAGACTTAGGGAGTGCTCTGCGTGTGTTCCTTCGTTGAGAAAATGCGCACCAAGCACCACGCCCGTGCTGTCAGAAAGTAGGCAGCGGAGCACCTGTCACCTGCTTCCGGGCCCTTGGTCCCCAACACCTCCTCTCCTGCACAGGCTGGAGTTCAGGATGGCAGCTCCGGCCTGGGGCCCGGCACCCACCTTGTCTTGGGGAGTCACCGTGGCCCGTCCCCCAGGGTTCTTGGGGGTGGAATTGGAGGGTTTGGGGGTGGGGGGAGGAACAGGAGGCAGGTGCACCAGTCTGGGCTGGAATCGGTGCCAACAGGCCTCCCTCCCTGGTCTCCCCGCCCTGGGGGTGACAGGGACCCCCCAGGCCTCCCGGGGTGAAGGAGCATCAGCAGCGATTCTGTATGGAGCAGAGGAAGCGGGGGGCCGTGTGCCCGGGACGGCTTAGAGACGAGCTCAGGTCGTCAGCGTGCGGCAGCCTGGGGCTGTGTCCTCATTGCCCGTGAGACGTCCTTATGGGCGGGATTTGGGGCTGTCCCCTGTCCTGGGCCCCGTACTCGGCACCTGTCAGGCCCTCGGGGAACATCTGTAGACTCACAGTCGCCGGCTGCCTTCGCTGGCGGAAGGCCCCTGTGCGTGTGGCTTTGGGTGGCGCCAGCGTGACCGTGGCCGGTACCTGCGCAGAGCACGTGTGGCCTCTCGCCCTGCCCTGCACGCCGAGTCCTGTGCACGTGCACAGCTCTCTCATCGTGCGGCTCTGTGCGGGCCCCTGCAGTGCGGGTGGTGGCACCCAGGTCCCCGTTTGGGCACAGATGGGGGCCCGTCCTGCTGTGTGTGTGCCCCTCCTCGGGGCCGTGTTTCCACCCCCTGAACACAGCTGGGGGACCCTCGGTTTCATTCCTGCGGCCCCCATGGAGGCCGAGCCTGCTCCTCTTGCTGCTCCTCCTCCTCCTCCTCTTTTGAGCCCTAAACCTTCCCGCCACCGCTGTGTGGCCGCAGGGGGTTGTCACCGGGGTGAACGTGGGTGTGAGACGCCCGTTCCCCGAGAGCTTCCCGGGCTGGGCCCCTCCTCTGTCCCCCTCACGGACAGCGTGGCGTCAGCCGGGAGCCCAGCTGCCTGGTTTAAGTCCCTGCTCTGCCGCTTACCAACTCAGACAAGTCACCAGACGCCCAGTGCCTCAGTTTCCCCATCTGTTAATGGGAATAACAGCAGCAGCACCCACTGCAGAGTGCTGTCTGGGACGGAGAGGTGGGCTCCTGGCTTGGCTCGTGGTAAGAGTCAACAAGGCCCAGCTGGTAGCACGGGACGTCTTGGCAGAGGCCGGCTGCCGGCCTGGCGACAGGTGTTCCGTGCCCACCCTGTGCCCAGTGGGGAGTCGGCTGTGGTGGAGGCTGCCAGCAGGTGCATCTCGTACGCACCAAGGCTTGAGCGGACTTGCTCCTTTGATCTTCGCTAGGGTCCTGCTGGGACGAGCAGCGCCGCCCCTCCCCCGTCGGCAGTGGGCAGAGGCGAGGCTGGGGGAGGGGCAGGTGGGGGCAGCAGGTTCTGATTCAACCCAGCGGCGTTGGACCCAGGTGAGGCCGCCCTGCCCAGGTGCCGGCGGGAAGGGCTGATGGAGGCCCCGGGTCCCGGGAGAGCCTGCAGGAGGCCTCAGTGGTCACAGGAGCCAAGGCTCGGGCCTGCCCGGCGGGCCAGCTCCCATGGCAGAGACTGGCTTGATTGGGGGGACACTAGGCGTCGGCCCCCGGGGGTTGGGGGGGAAGGTGGGGGTGTGAGGCCTGACCTGCAGCCCGGGACACAGGCACAGGAGGGTGGCGCAGGGCCGAGGGCCTGACAGCTGTCCCTCCAGGACTCCGACAGCCTCCTGGCATTTGAAAGGCTGTGGAGACTGGGCTGGGGCTCACTAGCAGGGACACTGTGTGCAGGTGGCCCAGCTCAAGGTCCGCGGTGGGCTGGCTTGTGCGGTCGGACCCAGGGCCTGGGCAGAGGGGGTCACCCCTCACGATGGGATGCGGGCCCATCAGGCCCGAGGTCAGACGATCGGGGCAAAGGTCGGCCAGAAGGCTTCGTGATCGGGGGCCTGGCCGGCCGCGGCTCTCCCCCAGGTGCAGAGGGGACCTTGGCGCCCACACGGGCAAGAGGAGGTGGCGTGGCCAGAGGGAGGCTGGGGTCGGGGCTCGCCAGGACTCCCCTGCCGGGCCCGTGGTGACTGCCCCTCACCATGTGCTGGGTAGGTGGGGGTCTCTCCAGCTGTAGGGACCCGGGCAAGTCCCCTGATGGCCCCGAGCCTCAGTTTACCCCTCTCTAAAATGGGGTGTTTATGAAGAGTAAAGCACCTGCTGGGTAGGTGGAGGTCTCTCTAGCTGTAGGACCTGGGCAAGTCCTCTGATGGCCCTGTGCCTCAGTTTACCCCTCTCTGAAAGGGGTGTTTTGAAAACTAAAGCACTGAATATGCGGGAAGAACCCCGCGTGTGTGCCAGGATCCCGCACTGTGGCTCCTGGGTTTTGTTCTCAGTCTTGCTGAAGAAGCTTGGGGCGTACCCTCACTCTCGGAATGCAAAGAGCTGGCGGCGTGGGTGTCAGGCACCTCACAGCTGATCTGTGGGCTTTTCAGAGTTGGTTGGGTTCGGGGTCTTTTATGTGGGGAGGGGGGTGGTTGGGGTTTTTTTTTTTATCTTCTTTTTGAAAGTTAGGAATTCCTTTTTTCTCTGTGGCTTTGTGATTTGAGCTGGGATGTCGGGGGGCCGTCCCTGGTCCCCCACGCTCACGTGTGTTCATGTTTTCTCTCCCCCAGCCCCTGACAGCTTGTGGCTTAGGGGGCCAGAGAGAAAACGGGTGGGTGAACCCGTGGCCGAGTCTGAGGGCCCCCCTATCCTGAGCGTGTGCTCTCGCCCTGCTTTGAGCAGGAGCAGAGGCACCCAGAGCCTTTGAAGTTTGAGAACCACTTCCACTCTGAGCCCAAGTGGGTCTGCCACGTCTGGTTGAGCAGGTTGTGCACTGCACGAGGGCACTCCCCTGAGGAAATGGAAGGCTTCCAGTCCGGGCTGCACTCCTGTGCCAGCCAACCCGTGTGCCCTGATGCTGGGCTCTAGCCCCCCCCACTGCAGCAAGGGGTGTCTCGTCATAATCCACAGGAAGGTGCCGTGTGGACTCACTCACGGGGTCCCTGTCCCAAGGACCAGCTTTGATTGCAACTCTGTTGACATCATGGAAGGGGTCTGGGTAGAGGCTGGAGGCCAGGAGGTGTCACAGGCTCCCCCTTCTCCCTGACCTCCACTGCCCCTCACAGACACGGTGTCCCTTAAGGATTAGCAGGGACCATTCTTAGATCCTGGAGGGAAGGGGGTGGTGGCTGCAGGGCGGGCGGGGACATGGGCTTGCTGGGGTCTGGGGACCACCTCTCCTGGACTCGCTGGTGTTGTGCTTGAGCCGCCTCCCTCGGTGGCCCAATCTGACCCGAACCCACAAGACCTTCCTGAGCGAGGGGGCACAAGTGTCCCCTGTGGGTACAGGCGCCCAGAGTGGGGCGGGGCTGGGACAGGTGGCACCTGTTGGCTTGGTGGGGGGGGGGCCTTCCTATGGAGCCTTAGCCCCCAGCCCAGACCTGGCACCTCCTTCCTTTATCACTTGGCATCTTGCCTGGCCTGGAGGTGACGGCGAGAACTCTGTGCCAGCTGTCAGCAGGTGTCCCCTGTGTGAGCCCCCACGAAAGCTGCCTACAGGAAGGACCTGACATTGGCCTTGTGGATGGGGTGCAGAAGACGGGGGTCACTCCTCCTCCCAGAGTCAGGGTTCGGGCGCTGGGGTGGAGGAGGAGGTGGAGGAGGACGCGGGGAGACCGTGTGGGCGTTTGGAAGCAGCAGGGCAGCGGTTCCCCCGACTGCCGACTGCGGATCCCCCTCCTACCCGTGGTGTTAAGTTAGGCAAATACCGTGGTACGACTGGGCTGCCTTAAACAGCACCTGCCTCCAGGTGGTTGTGTAAATTGACCGAGAGAAGATTGCTTGGCAAATACTCTTTTTGTTGAATGCATGAAAATTACCTGGTACACGGTGCACCCCGGTGAACTCGCCGTCGCCGTGTGCCGTTTGCTGATTTGGGGATTATCCGGCAGTAGGCGTCGGTCAGCCGTTGGGGAATTGGCTGGGTGAGTCAGTGATTCTCTGAGCTGGAGTTTACTGGTCAGTTTGGGAACTAGCTGGGTGGGCAGGGCTTGTCTAAAATGGGGTTTGTCCGTTGGTGCGGGGATCGGCTGCGCGGGCAGGGGTCATCTGAGCTGGGGTTGATCAGCTGACTGGGGAATCGGCTGGACTGGGGGCCGTGCACACGCCGCCCCCCCCTTCCCCCCGCCAGGCTTCTCTCTGCAGACCCCAGCCGCTTTCCCGTCTTGCTTGCAGATGACGGGAAGCTGTCCTTGGAGGAATTCCAGCTCTTCTTTGCAGATGGCGTCCTCAACGAGAAAGAACTGGAGGATCTCTTTCACACGATCGACTCTGACAACACCAAGTGAGCCCGAGTCCTGGCTGCCGGAGGAGGGGTGTGCGTGGGCCTTGGGGGTCTTCCTCCTTCCTCATCCAGTCTCCGTTTTCCAGGCTCCTATAGGGTTAGGGGAAAATCCCCAAATTTGCTAACCCAAAAGTCAGATCTATTTGGCCTTCACCTCGTGGGGTGACGTGGGGAGTGAGTGGGCAGACTGGTGTGGCGTTGGCTACTATCGCAAGTTTGTCTTTTCTGAGCGCTCGTGGCCAAGGAGAGGCTCCCGATTTTGCACGGTGTGCGTGGGATAATGAAAATGGGACGTTGGCAATGACCTCGCCCTTCTGCCCACCCACCCAGTTCTGGCCCTGACGCTGGTGCCTTCTGCCAGTCGCAGGGTGAACTCTGCGGTTGAGCCTCACCTCAACACTGACCCCGTTTTTAAACCAAACTGGAACCAAATGTACTACTAATCCTGACTCTGTCTTGGAAGCTACCGCCATCCCTAATTAAACCTTTTCTCCAAACCAGTCATAGCCTGACTTGCATCTCAGAATCAGCCAGTGTCTCTGGCTCTAACCCATCTCTACGTCAAGTGCAAAATGCACGTTCTACCCAGACTCAGCCCTGACTGTTCCCCAAACTCGCCTCCAATCCCTTTCCTTGGAATTCACCAGACAGGACGGATCTGAGCCCCCCTCCTCAGCCCCTCCTGGTCACCTTCCTCAAGCAGACCCGGGTGACGAGGATCAGAGCTTCTGGGGAGGGGGGCCCTGCTTTGGGTGGATTTTCCAAGTTGGGGTCCCCTGAGACTGGCTAGAGATGGTCTGGACAAGGAGTTGCCACCATGACAGTTTGTAAGGGACCCAGGACAGTGGTGGCTGGACCAGAGGTGGGGGCTGAGGGTGTGCTGGGAGGGGCTGGCTGGGGACCAGGATGGTGGAAACAGGCTTCCTCGTGTGGGGAAAGGCCACTTTGAAGAAATGGCTTCGGGCTGGCAGACTCCAGAGCCGAGGGCTTTGTCTCTGGGGCCAGATGGAGGTTTCTGAGCTGTTCCCGCAGCCGCCTGGGGAGCTTTGAAGGGGCCGAGGCAGGTGCCCGCTGATTTATTCTTTCTCACTCAGTGCCTTTGTGCTGGGCCGGCAGGGTGGAGGTGGAGGGAGGTGGGGGCGCTGCTTTGAAATCGTAACCCTGAGAGTACGTGTGTTGGGGGGGGGGTGGCTGCACCATTGTGGGAGGTCCAAGCTCTGAGGACCTTTAGCATTATCCTCTCGAACATTCCCCAAAGCATGAGCTGCAAGCATTAGCTCCTTGGGATGCTGTGTTGGCTTTCTGCCCACAGAATTTACAAAACAACAAATCAGAAAGATTTGTGAGATGCTAGTTTAAGCAAAATTACAGGCTTGCTTTCTGCAGGACTTGTCAGGACTCTGAACATGCAATGCAAATTGGGGAACCTCCCAGACAGAACATGCAAAGCCCACATTTCGTTGGTCACTTGGAAGCCTTCTATGCAGATGCTTCTCGAACCTGGGTTCCACTGAGCACACGCTGTCCCAGGCCAGCCGCCACCTCCCTGAGAGGAGGGAGCCGGGGCCCAGACAGGGCCGGCGTTCCTGGTCTCGAGGCTGTGCATGCCCCCTCCCTGTCGTGGGGGCCATTTCGTGCTCGGCCTCCTGTCCCGAGACGACAGGACCCTTCCCCATGCTGCGGGGGCGGGGAGCAGCCCCCAGACCCAGCGGGCAGGGGTGCCGGGGGTGGGGCGCAGCTGTGAGTTTTGTTGACAGCCCATAATAGTCACGGGGACCCACTCTCTTTTCCTCCCCCTCCCCTTTCCTGACCCGGCTCCATCCCACCCTTGTCCCATCTGTTCACGGCGTGGTCTGCCCATCCACCATGGGGGAGAAAACAGAAATGGGGGTGGGGGCGGCCAGACATGTGTGGTCCCTGCGCAGTCCTTATGGAAGGTGACATTTGCCTGCCACCCCTCAGCTATGAAGTGGGGCTCACGCTGCCGGCACAAGAGAGCAGGTGTGGCAGGTGGTTCACAGGCGGCCAGGGCCGGGCCTGGGCCTGCTGACTCCCTCTCTGTCTGTCATCTCTCTCCCTCCTCTCTGCAGCCATGTGGACACCAAGGAGCTGTGTGGTAGGTGCCCGGCCATGCAGGGACTGAGCTGGGGTGCAGGGGTGGGGTGGGGGGAGAAGGGCCGGAGGAGGGGAGAGGTACTGGGAGCACAGGCCGGACCAGCAGGAGGGCCCAGCGGGAGGGGCAGGATGCCCTATGACCCCCAACCTCTGCCCTCCCTCCCCCAGATTACTTCGTGGAGCACATGGGGGACTATGAGGACGTCTTGGCCTCCCTGGAGACCCTGAATCACTCTGTCCTGAAGGCCATGGGCTACACCAAGAAGGTCAGCAGGGGTGGGTGTGGGCGGGCTGCCGTGGCTGCAGTGGTTCCCGGGCATCCTTACCCAGGGGTGCCTGGATTTGGGGTGACAGGCTCCGGGTGGGCCTGGCTCGGGTGGGCTTTGCTTGGGGCTTCCATGGGGGAGCAGACATAAACTGTGAAGTGAGTAGAGCAGCTTTGTGAATGGCCCTGTGCAGACAGTGCCTGGCTGGGAGTGAGAGGCCCCTTCCTGGAGTCGGGTTGGTCCTAGGCAAAGGCAGGGGCCGTCACAGCGAGCCCCACGGGGTCTGCAGCGGGGGGCCGCACCTCCTGGGGCCAGCTGCAGAGAGGAAGCAGGGGAAGGGAGGGCTTCGAGCGTCTGAACTTGACCGGGAGTCTGACGGTGTCTCGCGTGAGAGCGTGCGGGCGAGGCGGGAGCCGTGAGGGGTGGTGGGAGGCGGCTGCGTGTTCTGGGGGAGGGCTCTGACGTGCTCACAGGTCCCTGCCCACAGCCCTGTCACCCCTCGTCTGTGTCGGCGCCCTGGAGGAGGACCTAGGACGGGCAGGCCCCACCCTGGGTGCTCAATGCTCAGTGTCTCGTGTAATCCTTGCGGCAGCCCCGGGGGTGGCTGTCACTCCCCCACTGCACAGCTGTGGGGACAGAGGCTCCAAGAGGGGAGCTCGCAGAGTCACACCCAGACAGCCCTAGCCGCTGGCTGGGGTGAGCAGGGAAACTGAGTCAGGGACGTGGCGAGAGGTATGGTGCAGCCTGGGAGGGGGCCGGGAGCAGGCAACGGCCAGGGACAGGCAGGTGCTCCGGGGCCGCAGCCTACCCTGGCCCCGAGCGATGGGAACCCAGAAAAGCCTGTCCCCTCTGCTGGTGGAGGCCGGGAGCTTGGCCGATAAAGTCAGCCAGACCTTGGCTGCAGACAGGGCCCAAGGCAGCCATTTCCCTTTCTGAGCCTCAGTTTCCCCACCTGTGATATGGGAGCATCTACCTCCTAGAGTCCTTGGGAGGAGCGAATGAAGTCAGGCCCCTTCTGAGCTGTTTAGCGCAGGGCCTGGCACAGAGCAAAGGTGTGTCGTCATTAGGCTCCTACTGTATACCCAGATACAGGTTAAGACAATTCCGCGGGGTCTTCCATTGCTGCGCAGTTCCTGCCCTCGCTGCAGCTGAGAATCCCTTTCTTGCCATTATGTCCCAAAATAGCCGGGCCTCGCCTTGAGCCACCCCCAGTCCACATCTCCACGTCTGCCCTGGCGTGGCACTGTTCTGAGTCTTTTATTTATTTATTTATTTATGAGACAGTCTCACTCTGTTGCCCAGGCTAGAGTGAGTGCTGTGGCATCAGCCTCGCTCACAGCAACCTCCAGCTCCTGGGCTCAAGCGATCCTCCTGCCTCAGCCTCCCGGGTAGCTGGGACTACAGGCATGCGCCACCATGCCCAGCTAACTTTTTCTATATACATTTTTAGTTGGCCAGTTAACTTCTTTCTATTTCGGGGTCTCGCTCTTGCTCAGGCTGGTCTCGGACTCCTGACCTTGAGCGATCCTCCCGCCTCGGCCTCCCAGAGTGCTGGGATGACAGGCGTGAGCCCCTGCGCCCGGCCTCTAACTGATTTTTGTAGAAATGCAGCTCATTGATTTTTTTATCTTACGTGCTTTTCTTGTCCTTACTGATTCTAGTTGATTCTTTGGCCGTCGCTGGGACGCAGCCATGACGTCATCATTGCCTGGTGGCATCATCCGTGCATCTCTAACACGTGTCCTCTCGCTACCTTGTCACGTCCTGTCGCATTTTCTCCACATTCTAAAACGCCGTGATTGGGCCGGGCCAGGCGTGCTCGTTTCTGATTTTCAAGTCTCTCTCTAGTATTTCTCCACTAATTAGGATATTAATACCAGCTCTTATTTTAGAAGCCTCTGCAGCACGTTAGAGAAATAATTTTTGCATTTCCCTTTGTTCAGTTTTGTCTTGGGAGGTGGTAGTGAATTTTCTCAAATGCCTTTTTGGTATTTTTAAAATGATCATAAGATTTTTTTCTTTCCCCTAAGCCATGGATGGGGCGGACGCTATTTTTAGCGTCCCTCCTGTTGAACAGTCCCGAGCTCCCTGTGATGAACCCTAATTGATACATTATTCTTTTATCACATCGCCCAGGCCTTGTCTCCTGCTGAGCGTTTCATCTGTGTGTCTCCGCCGGGAATTAAGATTGGATGTTAAGTTTGGGGATGATTTGTCAGGTGGTGCTGAATGTTTTCTGTGTTGTGATTTTTGCTTCTCTAACATAGACTCATTTTTCTGCTCAAAAATAGAATTTATCCGTAAGTCTTCAGTCAAGGTGTTTAAGTAGGGAAGGGGATGGTTTTCATAGTTATTTTAAGGTCAACCCTAATTGTAGTCAAGCTTTTTACTTTCTGTGTCCATTTTTTTTGGGGGGGGGGATGTTGTGAGAGAGGGTCTCACTCTGTTTTCCGGGCTGGAGTGGCTGGCATCATCGTAGCTCAGTGCGGCCTCCAACTCCTGGGCTCAAGCGATCCTCCTGCCTCAGCCTCCCGGAGTAGCTGGGACTACAGGTGCACGCCACGCCCAGCTAATTTTTTAAAAAAAATTTTTTGTAGGCGTATAGGGTCTTGCGATGTTGCGTAGGCTGGTCTCAAACTCCTGGCCTCAAGCTATCCTCTTGCCTTGGCCTCCCAAAGTGCTGAAATGACAGGCATGAGCCACCATGCCTGGGCCATTTTAGTGCATTTTTAAACAAAGCCATCCTGGACATGTTCAGTTTTATGATCACTTATGCATGGTGTGGTGGTATGATTATTTAAAAAATCCAAAATGTTGTTTGACACAAAACAGGCACTTAATGCAGATTAACTTCAATAAAATGTGTGCTGTTATAGCTTTTCCTACATTTTAAAACCTTATATTGGACAGTTTTTCCTGTTTTAATTAGCTGTTTCTAATAACCAGCTCCTGGCACACTTATTTAAATTTCATGATATGTTATCTAATACATTTATAGTCCTGCCATTATTATTTTTTTCCTCCTGTTACTTTGGGTTTGTTGTGGTTGCTGTTCTTTTTCTTATGTGGAACGGAATGCTTTTATTTTTGATAATAAAGTTCAAAAATTTTTTTAATTTACCTTTGGTATTTTCATGGCAGTCATAGATTTTTAATGTGTAGTTCATGCTGAATATTTATTTGAATATTTTATGTTCTCATTCATTTCTCGTTTCATTGTTACGATAAAACTAAGTGACCAGTAAGCTCTCTGCTCTGTTTTTTTAATATATTGAGATGTCTTCATTACATAATATTTTGTTTTTATAAGCATCTCATGGATGCTTGAGAAGATGTAGATTGTGTTTGCAGAATATCAAATTTAAAAATAGCTATTCTTTTTCTGTTATGAAATGTGCTGTTAAAGGACAGTTTTTCTAAAAAGCTTAAGGTCGTGTCTCTTCCACAAGTCTTAAAATGTGCACGTCAAAAATTTTCTTTAATTTGTTATTGTGAAAACCAGTAAAGTGTTACAACTGGCTCAAAGCGGAATTCGAGAAACACGTGCACGTATGTACAATACAGGCAAGTGGGAGTTCTGAAATAAACTCACGAACAAACACAAACCTGGCCACTACGAAGGGCCGTGGTCAACTGCGCTCGGCCAGACAAACTCAAATGCGTTTTTGTGAAAGAGACTTATTTGCATTATTATAAAATTTCTGCATCTTAATAGAGTTTTTTTTTTTTTTTTTTTGAGACAGTCTCACTTTGTTGTCCAGGCTAGAGTGAGTGCCGTGGCGTCAGCCTAGCTCACAGCAACCTCCAACTCCTGGGCTCAAGCGATCCTCCTGCCTCAGCCTCCCCAGTAACTGGGACTACAGGCATGCACCACCATGCCCGGCTAATTTTTTCTATGTATATTAGTTGGCCAATTAATTTCTTTCTGTTTATAGTAGAGACGGGGTCTCGCTCTTGCTCAGGCTGGTTTCGAACTCCTGACCTCGAGCAATCCGCCCGCCTCGGCCTCCCAGAGTGATAGGATTACATAGAGTTTTAAAGTAGTTCCAAAATAAGGAAAGACTTAGGAATGCAGAGAAGTTTACTAGATAAAAAACCACAGAATTTTTCTGCCCGTTTCAAAAACTGTCACTATTTTTCATGACAAAGCCTTTGTGTCCCTATTTATTAACTAACTTATCTGTCCCATGGGATACTGGTGAGCTCATTTCTTACACCGAACTGTGTTTTCATTTAATGTTTGCATTTCTAATGTTTTTCCTTTCTATATTTTTTGCCATGTTGTTTGCATATAGACGTTTGCTATGTTTTTATGTAAATGGTATATATTTGATATGCAAAATGTAGGAAGTGTAAAGAAAATTTCAAATCATTTCTAATTCCCACTATCCCTAACCACACCATTAACATTTAGTTTATTACCTTCGTGCCTTTTTCCACGTGTATTCCTTAATAGTTATAATCTGTTTATAAAAATTTATTTCATGCTTTTTTTAACCTAATAGTTAACACTTTTCCCATGTTGTTAAAACTGCTCAAAAGCACCATTTTAAATATTCTTATTTAAATCTACTTATTTTTCCTCTATTCTTACGCATGTTAGATTATATTATTATTATTATTATTTTTGCTATTGTGAGTAATACTGTCTTTAATACCCTGGGGCACACATATTTGGACACATTTTGCACTCTGTTTTGCAGATAGATGATCAGAATTGGGGAATTTCCAGGTTAAAGAATACAAGCAGTTTATATAAGGCTCTTGATATTAGCAAAATTGCTTTATAAAATGTTTGTGTCCATGCTGGTGATCCTAGCTGTGTTTATAGCCATGTCCTCTCCCAGTGTATGAAAATTTAATAATGTCATGTCCTGGTTATACACTATGTCTTTTGCCATCCTATTCTTACCTTTCTTGTTTACGTAATACTTTCTCATTTAAATTCTACCTGGATAGTGATACTGCATCTTGTCCCGTTCATTTGATCAAATTTGATCACAGTATCTTTGCACTGGCTTTCCTTAGTAAATCCTCCGTGCTGCTGGATTTAGGCGCGATTCTGGCTGGATCTTATTTAATCAACTCTGGGACTCTGTCTCCCGCCATGGGGGAATTTAGACTACTTCTCTTATTATGATTGTTCTGTCTGGTCTGACTGCTCTTATGATGCTTTATTCCCATTTTTCATGCTTCCTTCATCTCTTTTACATTTTACCTTGTGATGGTCTGCTCCGTTTATATCATCAGTTACAATTTAGAAGGTAAAAAAAATCGTAGTTTTCATTTTACTAATGACTTAAAAAAATACATCGTTAACCTTCTCAATCTGATTTTTATACTTGATAAAAATAAAAAATAAAATAAAAAATAAAAATATAAAAATAAAAGACACTTTCTGTTCCCTTAGTGGATAAAAGGAATTTTTAAGGTTTTTGGCTGTTTTTTTCTATACTATATTAACTTAATCTAATATAGTTGAAATCAAACTGTTAGTGGTTAATATTCTGATTTCCTCACATGGGATAGCCATCCTGTTGAAGCTGAGTGATCACCATGACTGCTCTGTACAACTTCCCTATTCAAGAATTCTTTCTCGACCTCAAGCCTAGACGATTTAGGAGAGATTCCTTAAGCATTCTTTGCAGAAAAGGTGCTCGTCTGCTAACATTTCAGAGATGTACAGGTTTCTGAACATTTTCCCTGTTCTGCAAACGAGTGACTTATCCACTGGTCTCACACTTTCTAGATGTGACCCTCTTGGTCTGCAGTCTGGGCTGCGGCACTGACCGTAGCAGAGGAGAAATCTGTAGAAGCTTCCCTCTTACCCCTGTGCAAAGAACTTGCTGTCTTCGGAATTCACCCAACCAGTGACACTTAGTGATCCCTGACCACGTCCTCCGGCCCTGGTCTGGCTGCTTTTAGCACACTTCAGCTCGTTTTTCTGCTTGATCTGCTTCTTAAAAGCCCCTTTTTTGTGTGTTTAAATTTTTTATGGGGTTATGTCTTGTTCACCTTTGGCCATTCATGTGTCTGGAGTCCATCGATCACGGCATCACGTGTGGTCTCGGCCGTCTGCTCGGAAGGGTCACGGGCCGTGGCATCCATCGGGCTGCTAGAACCTGATACTCTCTCGGTTGCAGAGTCTTCCTCCCCTGGGGGCCGTCCGGCGGGCCCTGGTCTGGCTGCCAGCGGACGGACGTCCACCCCCCTGCCTGCCCCGCGGTCCCCTGCACCCCGCCCCCCCCAGGCTGTCTCTCAGCCCTGTCTCCCGCCGTGCAATTATTGCTAATTAATTCCCAGTCAGAGTGATGGATGGTTTAATTTGCTCTCCTTGAGAGCCCTGTTTTCTCTTGCCTTGCCAGGGGCTGGGCAGAACTCCAAGATGCCCGGGGGTGGGGGACAGGTGGCTCAGGAAGGTGCGGGGGTCTCAGCCAAGGAGGCTGGGGGAGCAGCCACAGGATGGGGCACGGGAGACCCAGAATCCCCCTACTCGGCGTCATGTTTGTCGTCTTGTCCCTGCGTGACGTGGCTGAGCCAGAGCCTTCTCCCTCCTGCTGTGCGGCGGGCAGCCCAGAGACGCCCCAGCGGACGCAGAAGCCTTGAGACCTGTCTCTGCTGAAGTCTCGTGACAACGGGGACATTCCGTCCCGCACCACGGAGCCAAACTCACGGGAAACCCTCTTTCCTGTCTTTCCTGCAGAGTTCTCCTCCCTGCGGCATCTGCTAAGCCTCTCTGTTCCCCCAGACTCTTCTCTGACCCCCTCTTTTGGATCTCTGAGCCCGGGAACCTTCGGTGGGGGCCCGTGCTGGCTGGTTTTGATCCTGTTCTGCCGTTTCTCTGAGTGGCAGCAGGAAGACAGGGAGCCCAGAGAGTCCTTGGGAGGAAGGGGAGGAAGAGGCAGAGGGCGGCGGCCCCCAATACCCTATCCCTATCCCGCCACCACCAAATCATTGCCTCAGCCGCCGCCATCGTCTTTGTCATAGCAGCTACTGTTTTAGCATTTGCTAGTGACAGGCACTGTGCCTAGCATGTTGCATACGTTCATCTTCACCGCTAACTTGTAAGGTAGACACTACGGTGACCCGGTTACGCTCAGAGCCGCAGAGCTAGCACACGGTGAGGCCAGGGGTTCACACCTGGGTCTCTGAACCTACAGCCTCTGGATTGGAGACTCTGCAGCCTCTGAGGTTCAGGAAGTGGTGGGAAGTCCCCGCTTCCCGCCGCAAGGCACACGCGCCGACCGCCATTGCCCCCCCCAGTCCTGTGCTGGGCGCCACGCCCGGCCTCCCTGCCAGCCCCGTCCCTTCCCTGCAGGTGTACGAGGGCGGCAGCCACGTGGACCAGTTCGTGACCCGCTTCCTGCTGAAGGAGACGGCCACCCAGATCCAGTCGCTGCTGAGCTCCGTGGAGAGCGCGGTAGAGGCCATCGAGGAGCAGACCTGCCAGATCCGGTGCGTGGGGAGGCCCCGTGCGCGCGCCGGCCTGCTGCCCGGCTGGCGGCTTCGTGTGCCCAGGGGCCGGGGGACCTTTGGCGAGTTGCTTGCGTCTCCCTGTCCGCCCCCGTTGCTCCAGCTGTAACATGGGGACAACGGTATAGCTGCCCCCTCGGTCACCGCCAGGATTGGATGGGGACGCCCGGTGTGCGTACGCGTGGCACGTGCACACGGCTAAGACGCCGCTTCCCAGATGCCAGTCCGCTCTGCCGCGTCCCCGCGTGCCCGTGGTTTATGATTTGGCACGCTTGTTTAAAGCTGCAGATAGATGTAGGAGCTGGTATGTGGCTGCGATAATTGGAAAGTAAGTGTCGCACGCCATAGGCGAGGGAAGCGTAAGAACAAGCGCCCGTCGTTGCTCACGGCCAGCTCGGACCCTGCCTCCTGCCCCCTCGGTCGGGAGGAGAGGCTGGGGCACCGCCGGAGACAGGGCAGTGCCGCGGTGACACTCTCTCAGGAGGATTGAGAGAGAGGTGAAAATGGAGCGGCGTCCTCACAAGACTGTGTTACATAAGGCCGTGTTGGTGCCCTCTGAACCATGGAGAGGCACCTGGGGTCCCCTCTCGGGCGGCCGTTTTAAGGGGAGCGGTTGTTTTCTACTTCCACTCGGCAGTCCCAGCCCTCAGGGGCCACGACCCCTCCCGTTTGCCGTCCCAAGTTGAGACACCCCGTCTCTGCCCTGCTCTTCCCAGAACAGCAGCTGTGCCCGGCCCAGAGGAGAAGTAGAGAGAGAATGCCCGGGTTCTGTTGCGCCTTGAATGTCCCAGGCAGAGGGGCGTCCGGGCCAGGACGCCCGGCTGCAGCGGGCTGGAGGGTGAGCCTGTGTTTTTGGTTGGCGAGGAGCTGGTCCCAATCAGATGTGATGGTGGAGGTCGTTCCAGGATCCTTTGTTCCCCAAACGGGTTTGTTGTGAGCACCTGCAGCCAAACACCTGGGAAACTTAAAATGCAGATTCCTGGGCCCCCGGCTCGACCCGCTGGTCACTCTGCATCTGTGATCAGGGCTGGGACTCTGAGGGTCCCCGGCTGACACTTAGATTCCTTTGTTTTCTGTTATTGTCTTGGTCAAAAACTTGCTGCTGTGATCCTGCCACAGAACGGACAGTGTCGTTGCGCAAGTTCGTAGCGCCTTTCTGCGCTGTGCCGGCTCTGCCACACGTCAGGGGCTACCCCGTCTGTCCCTACGTGGATGGCTACCCCTGTCCGCCCCCACGTGGGGACCTTGCTGCGGGGCGTTGGTGGAGGGGGTGGCACGTCATCCTGGGGAGATTCACCTGCTCCCTAACAGCCTCCCCCAATCTGAGCTATTCCAGCTCCCGGCCACCGGTCCCCAAGGCCCATCCCGTCTCCTGGCCCCGAGTGGCCTCCCGGACACTGTGTTCGGGCACAAGCTGCCGGCTCACACCCTGCCGCCCGGGCCCCCCCCTCCCCCCGAATCCTCGAGCAACCCTTCATGGTCTGAGGGACACATTTAATTTGCTGCTTGTTTGTAGCGACGCTGTGACTGACAGCTCAAAGACTCTGCCAGCCCTTGCCCCCCACCCTCGGGGGAATTGGGTCTGCTCCCCCTGCACTGGGGAGAGACTCGAGGAGCTTCCGGGGCTCACGGGAGGCAAATTCCAGAACACACGGGGGCAGCGGTGCTCAAAGACGGGTGCAGGGGCATGCGTGCGTGTGCGTGGCGGTCTGTGTGTGTCTGCAGGGACTTTGCCAGCATCTCTTTGCACGTGAGCGTTCGGTCATTCACCGAGCAGGTGTTGAGTCCTACTATGCGCCAGGCGTGCCAGCGTGTGCGTGGCTGTCCAGCGAGCTGTGCCTGGCAGGGCACGCAGGGGGTGTGCCCACCAGTGGGAGGAGGGGAAGGGCCCGGCCCGATCAGGATCACAGTTCTGTGTCCTGTTAATAATAATCCTCCGTGTGTGTGTGCGTGTGCAGGGGGGGGTGTCGTGTAAGCTCGGGTCCCCCACCCCCGAGGACACCAAACACCAGACTGGCTTCCCCTGCGGCAAGCAGGGAGGGAGGGACACTTGGGATCGCCACAGCCCGGTGGGTGCCTGGGCAGCAGTGAGCCGTGGGTGGGGCGGGCGCCCGGCTCAGCCCTGCCCAGCCCTGGGACTCAGTGTCGGGACCAGGCCCAGGCCGTGGGGTCCTGGCAGGAAGCCGAGTGCGAATCCCGGCTCACTGCAGGCCCCGTCCCCTGCGTCATGGCCCCCTTTCCTCCTCTGTAAGGACAAAGGCCGCCGTGCACACCTCTCGGGCGTGGGGGTGCACATTTTAGCCACAATCGGCGCTTAATAAATGCCTGTCAAAGCTGCTGGAAGTGGCCAGGGCCCTGCAGCTGCTGCCATGGTCCGTGTTTCCTGACTCCACTGCAGGCAGAACCACGGCAAGCCCAGCCACGGCGCCACGGAGACCTGGTATGGGAGCCCCACGCCCCCCTACGCCGCCAACCACAAGCTCATGGCCACGGAGCCAGGGAAGAGCCTTCCGTCTGGTGAGAGCAGTGGCCCGGGGCGGGGGGGGGGGGGTGACACTGGCCAGGGTGTCGTGAGGAGTCCCCTGATGGGGACTGGGACAGGGGGGCAGGGGCATGTTGGGGACCCCGTGGTGGGGGGCTGGGGGAGCCCCTCCTCCCCACGGGCCTGGCCCTGCCCAGCAGCTCGGTGTGTTTCTCTTTCTCAGTCACCGAGGACTCGAAGGAGGAGGGCCTGGAAGCCCAGATCAGCCGGCTGGCGGAGCTGATTGGCAGGCTGGAGAACAAGGTGAGCCCCGTGGACCCCAGCTGGCTCCCTCCTCTCCTCTCCTCTCCTCCTGGCCCCCGGGAGTGCAGAGCGAGGCTTGGAGCTCAGGCAGGAAGTCAGGGCTGCAGAGAGCTTGGGGACCCAGCCTGGAGCAGACAATACCCAGGTGGAAGGGGGCGGTCCAGAGCCCATGACTGCGGTACAAACACTGGGACGGGCGGGGCTGTCGCAGGGGCAGGGGGGCAGGCAGGAGGGACAGCTCCAGGGGCAGAGAGCGGTGGGCAGGGCGGAGGTGCAGGGGCAGGGGGGCAGGCAGGAGGGACAGCTCCAGGGGCAGAGAGCGGTGGGCAGGGTCCCCTGCTGCATAGGGCCTGCAGTCCCAGGAGGCTTTGCCCTAAGGCGGGTGACCTGAGCAGGTGGTCGCCAGGTCAGGGTGAGCAAGAGACGTGGTGACTTAGTAGTGCGTGGAGATGGGGAATGACTAGCTGGTAACAGAAAATGACCCCGCCCCTACAGAACCAGAGAGTAGAAAGGATCATTGTCAGAGAGTGTTTCACGCCTTGGGAGAGTACTCACAGTGTGGCCACTTGGTGGAAGAGAAGAAAAAGTTTGCCTTAGGCCTTTTAGGATGGATGGGCTCAGGTATCAGACCCTCACCATTGGAATTCTGGCTGTGTGGCGTTGGGCCAGTGCCTTACCCTCTCTGAGCCTCAGATTCCTCCTCTGGTGGTACAGAATGTAATCGGGAGAGTGGGATCCCGCATAGGGACCCTGCTAAGATGAAATAAATGATGTCTTGGCGGCTCAGCGCAGAGCCCCGTGTGGCTGGCAGTTAATATTGGTAAGATTAGCAATTATCGTTAGACACGCTGCTGCTACCGCCACCTGCACAAGGGCACACGCCACACCCGTGTACATACCTACAGCAACCAGGGGCACAGGGATCTCGGAGCCCCAGGGTTGGGTGGTTTATATGTCTTCTACTTTGCTGTATTTCTTTTATACCTTTTACAAATGGTGTTACTATTTTGCTGGGTTTGGGGGGTTAGTTCTGAGGGATTCGAGGGGCTCCCCCCACGGAGGAGCCAGGCCCATGCCCTGGAGCCATGTCCGTGGGAGGAGGCGGAGGATACTCCCTGCAGGGGCCAGGCCGAGGTGGGGTCACCCCCCCCACCTTGAAGCCCGCTGCGGGAGGGCTCTGTGGGGACCTTGTGGCCCGGTTGTCATAACAACTCGGTGGGCGCCTCCAGAGGGAAGCTCTTTGAAGCTTATTTTTAGCACCCGGGTCGCCCTAACAACCAGGCTGGCTGGTAACCACGGAGCACCTGGGCGTCTTGGAGACGGGGTGGGGGGCCCCCTCGCCAGCCTCTGATTGGCCCGGGCGGTGAGCGGGGGCCAATCCGGGCTGGGCTCTGCCTGGGCTGGGAGGATGGGGGCGCTTGGGGGGAGACAGAGAGAGAGGGGGCAGATATGGCTACTACCGCGCCTGCCTCTTCCTCTTACGGCTCTGCCTGCTGGGAGAAGCCGAAAGGAACCGGCCCCAGCCCTTCCGTCCAGGAGTCCGGGACCATGGTGTAAAAACCACGAAGACAGACTTGTCCCGGCCAGGCGCACCCTCCCAACTTAGGGGAGTCCATCCCTTGTGCCCTAGAGAAGTTGGAACCCTGTCCAGGACCGGCCACTCCAGGGCCCCCTGTTTGCACGTGGAATATTTGAAGGTGGCGGCTACTCAGGTCACCAGCCCCTTGTTTTCCTCAACAGCCAGTCTCTCACGTGTGCTCTCCTGGGATTGTGGCAGACACAGTCTGTCCTCGTGGAGGAGGGACAGGGACGGGCACAGAGGTGCTTACCGGCATGCCCAAGTTGAAGGAGGAAGAGTCATGATCCTGCGTGTCTGGCTCTGACCCCCAGCTCTCGTGCCCTCAGAGCCAGGGTTCCCTGCGTGCCATGAGACCTCAGAGCCTCAGTGGGCGCTCAGCCCTGCATAGGGTGGCGAACGCAGCCACCGTGGCTCCCCCGATCCTGCAGCTTAAAGTGGGCAGCCCCTCCCGCAGGGAGCTGGGAACATTAGATAAGATGTGTTTGCAAGCAGTTTAGTTAGGGCCTGGGGAAGGCCGGAGACAACAGCTCATCCCAATCACACGGTTAGAGTGAGGAGGTGCCAGGGCTTAGGGTTTGGGGCAAGCTGTGAGTTGAGGGGGGAGTCTCGGGGCTGTGGCAAAGCCCAGCATCCTGGATTCGGGCCTTGTGCGTCCTGTCGCTGCCTCTCCCGAGACCTCCCCGTCCCAGCAGAGCTCGTGGGGCCGCCTTCACGCCCCCTGCAGCCGGTCAGCTTGGCCTCCCAGTGACCCCAGAGGGCAGGGCCGGAGGGACTGTCTGCCACTTCCTCGTTCTCCCAGCCCTGCCTTCCCGGGTCCCCTCTGAGCCAGCGCCGGGGCTGGACCAAGGCCTGGCCCTGGGATCCCAGAGCCCCTCGCACCTTGGGGCAGAGGGGCTGGAGCTGGGTGGTGGCCCCAAGTGCGCCAGTGTCACCGTGGTGAGTCCTGGGGCCTTTGGCTGTAGCATCACTTGTGCTCCGGTGTTTCAGGCACTCTGGTTTGACCTGCAGCAGCGCCTCTCGGACGACGAGGGCACCAACATGGTGAGGCCCGGCCCCTCCCTCCAGATCTGGGTGGATCGAGGTCCCCCCACCATGGGGCCCCCAGACCCTGCCCAGGCCCAGGGGCCATTGCCCCCCTGCAGGAACATTTTGGAGGCCCTGAGGTCTAGAACTAAGTGGTCAGCAGGACACGATGGCAAAATACAGATTCCATCAGAAACTAATTCTGTTGGTCACCGGTTTTGCCGTGTCTTGGCGACCTGGGTGCGAACACCCTTGTCTGCTCGTCACCACTCTCGGGGGCTGTGTTCTGCGCTGGCTGCTTTTCTATCCCTTTTTGGCCAGTTTTTATGTATAAGAATGGAAAGGGAGGGGGGTTGGCCCAAGAGCCCAGTCCCTTCATGAGGGAGGTATGGGGGGGCGGAAGGGGCCTTGCCCTGGGCCCCCCACACTCATTCCTGCCCCGGCAGCACCTGCAGCTGGTCCGGCAGGAGCTGGCCGTGTGCCCCGAGCAGCTGAGCGAGTTCCTGGACTCCCTGCGCCAGTACCTGCGCGGCACGGCCGGAGCGGGGACCTGCTTCCAGTGAGTGGCGTGGGGGTGGGGGCTCTGCCTGGCAGGGGACAGCTGGGGCGAGACCAGCCTCGCCCCCAAAAGCAAACCGCTCCCCACAGAGGCGGAGAGCGGACTGGGTGCACCAGGCCTCCCCCAGCTCCTCATGGGCTGAGGATCGGCCGATGCCAGGATCTGGGGGGTGGGGGGTGGGCAGGGCCCCCTCCCACCCACCCAGGACAAGAGACCGTGGGCTGTGCCACCCAGGCCTGGGACGCTCAGGGGCTTGTTTTCGGGATTAAGCGAGACGATTCCGAAGAGCTTGGTGGGAGAAGATGCTGTCTTGATTTTTAAAGGGAGCATCTTTGTAAATGAACACGCAGCATTTTACATTGTTACATGGCACTTTCCTTCAAGTAGAGACACTGGCCGCTCTGTGGGGCCAGGCCTGCTGCTGCAGGTGGGGGTGCTACTCCTGGCGGCTCCGGTCAGGCAGGCAGAGGCAGCCCCAGTGTCTGCCTGGCTGGGGTGGGGTAAGGAAAGGTTGGGGGCGGCCCAGGGCGGCCGTGTGAGCCCACGGCCTCTCTCACAGCATTGCCGCGGTGCGGCTGGCCGACGGCTTCACCTTCGTCATCTACGAGTTCTGGGAGACGGAGGAGGAGTGGAAGAGGTGAGCAGAGTCACGGCCGCTTTCCTTGACGCCGAGTATCCCTGTGGGGGAGGGTAACGAACCCCCCAGGAGGGCTGTGTGCGGGCAGGTGGAGGCAGGGTTGCTCCCCTCCTTGTCCCATTCAGCTGGGCTCTTCCTGCAGGTTCCCAGCTAAGCCCCCCTAGTGTCAGGCTTTGACACAAAGGTGGGACTCTTGTATGTGAAAACTGCTGTTCTAAGGGTCAAAATCCCTTCTCCAACCCCCCGGCCTCACCCATTCCAGCTTTGAGGTCTGGCTCAAGTGCCCTCCTACAGGAAGCCCTCCTGATTTCCCCAGAGTTCCCTCTTCTGTGCTCCTTAACCTGGAGGGCCCAGGCTCTGCTTTACCTAATGTCTTGTGGAGTCTAGGGCCGGGCCCAGAGACGGTAACTCAGCACACAGGATCAGTGGCTGATCTGTGGGCCAGGAGGTCAATGCTGGTGGCTGCCACTGGGCTCAAGCCAGGACTCGGGGCACTCCTGAAAAGGCCCTGAGCGTTCCTCATTAGCCAGACCCAACCCTGTGCCTCCATACCCCACAGGCTTGGGGGAACATTGACCCCATCCCCACCCTCTGCTGCACACTCACGGTTTGCTGCCAGAGTAGTAGGCGGCCCCAGGAAAGGACTTGAGGTCTCCTCTGTCCACACTTCACCGAACCCACTTGAGGCTTCAGTGTCATTTGGTCCACAGCCGATGACAGCTTCACCACTCCCTCCTGGGGGAGATCAGGAGATGAAGTCCCCATGCACTGAGGACTATCCTTGCTCCCAGGGTGTGTCGGGCACAGGCCTTAGTTTTGGGTCGTTCCTGTGCAGACGCTCCCTGCAAGGAAAGGAACGGGCTGCAGCCTCCTGGCCCGGCCTTCTCTCCCCCCTACCAATCCCTCTGGCTCAGAGCCTTGGAGTTAAGCTCCCCCCAGGCAGATCCAGGACTAGAATGGTACCCCCGCCCGGAGCTCCTTCCCTGGAACCCCCAGCCCCACGACTCACCCGCGCTCCCGGCTTGCAGGCACCTGCAGAGCCCCGTGTGCAAGGCGTTCCGGCACGTCAAGGTGGACACGCTGAGCCAGCCCGAGGCCCTGTCCAGGATCTCCGTGCCAGGTAAGGGTGAGGGCCCGGGGCTGGCGGCTGTGTGGACCCCTGGTTCCGACAGGAGCCCAGGGGCAGCAGGCTGGGCAGCGGCAGCTCCAGCGCACAGGGCCCAGGCTCCCCCTGACCCTTCTGCTTGCGTGGCCGGCAGGGCTTGGCACCACTGCCACAGGTGCAGATGGGACCCAGGGCCAAGGCCAGAGCCTGAGCCCCCAGGAAGAACAGAGCAGGAGGAAAGCAGGGTGCCCCCAGTCAACCCTGCCATGGGTCTCCCACCCACCTGACTTTACCTTCACAGCAGCCCCCTTTGGGTCACAGGCAGGCCTGACGGCGGCGGCAGCCCTGGCCCTGCCCCAAGCTGGTCCCGGTGAATGGGCAGGTGCTCATGGGGAAGTCTGCCTGGCCACCAGGTCCTGCCCCTGCCAGCTCCGTTGCCCACCGGGGCTGCCCATTCCCTCAGCCCGCCCTCTAACCCGTTTCCCTCTCCCCCTCAGCCGTGTGGTGCACCGTCGGCCGAGACTGACCGCCTGCCTGCGGCCGGGTCCGCCCCTCCTCTTGTGAAGGACATCCCCTTTTCTAGAAACTTTGGAACACGAGCTGTCTTCTCTCTTCTCAACACGAATGTACGTCCCTGCTGTGTGAAGTGGAGGAGGAACCCCGCTCCCCCCAGTGAGTGGCCACGCACACCCAGCCACCTCCCTCGTAGTCTGATGGCTGAGGCCACCTCTGTCCTCCCCTCGTTGACATTTCTCCACCTGGTAGGAGCCGTGACCCCGTAGCGCCCAACCTAGGCCAGTCCCGCGTCTGTGGCAGTAGCGCCACCGTAGGCAGCCAGTGTCTGCTGGGCACAGGCACCAAATAAACTGTGGTTGGAAACATCCATGCGCTGTTTATTTCCCATTTTCTGGCAGATTCCGGCTGTCAGTACACGGGGGACCTGGGCGGTAGCCAGACACCTCTCATTTGCGCTGTGAAACCCTAACAGAGTCCCCCAAGCCTCAGAGGAAGGTGACAACTCCAGGGGGCAGGTGTTCCAACATGTGGGCTCGTGCCTGCTGCAAAACTGAGGGGTCTTGAGTTCAGTAATTCCCTAGAAGGACCCAGCAAAGCCACCATAGTTACAGTTCACGACAGCAAATGAACACCAGCCGAAGTCACCAAGGCTCTACCAGGCACAGAGCTGCCAGTGACATCACACCGCCAGCACTTAATTCTCCGAGCAACGAGGTGTGACCACAGGCGGGAGTAGTGCCAGCCAGGGAAGCTTGCCCGAGCCTTTGTGGCGCTCAGTCCCACGGCCGGGACTGCCCCCCACGCAGCTGCCTGGGCTAGGGGCCCCTCCAGATACCTAGCACGACTGCCTCGTGGGGTACAGGCAAACAAAGGCACTCTTAGCAGGCAGGACATTCCAAGGCCCTTAGAGGGGACAGCAAAGGCCAGGCCTGCCTGTGGGCACAGTTAACTGTTCGCTGCACACCTGTACATCAGCCATTCCAACAGGACAGGAGACACGCCGAGACTCTGAAATACCGTTGTATTATTCTGGAAGCTTTATAACTTCTATTTCACTGTCACACACAAAAGTTCAAAGGAGAGGGTGGTAGGTCCGTGTCCCAAGCCAGGACAGGCACGGTGCGGGGTTGGGGGAGGAAGGCAGAGCACTGGTCCTGCCCAGCCTGGGACCAGGGACACCGTGGGAGCCCGGGGAGGCAGGGCCCAGGACGAGCATCGATCCTCCCACACCAAGCCTGGAGCCACCAGCCAGTGAAACGCAGTCATTGTCATCGCCACTCAGCAAGGTCCCCGCCCACGCTGTCCCGGCTGTCGGGCGCCCTGCAGCCCTGCTCCCAGGGCAGGTGCACCCTGGCGCCAGGGGTCCTGCCACTTCCTTGCAGGCTTTGACGCCAGCCACTCGGGCTCACGCCAGCCCAGCAGAACGTGACACGAGCCTGCAGCAAGAATGGGGTGGGGACAGACGTCCCATCCGTATGTCCCGGCACCAGCCTCTCAGAGCCTCTGTTTTCTCAACTGCAAAGTGGGGAGAAGACCCCTGTTTTGAAGGACCGGGGGCTTCATGCTGGATCCTGCTGGCACAGTCAGCAGCCGCGAGAGCCGCCCTGGTCTGCTGAGGCTGGTGTCGTTCCAATCAGCTCAGCATTTTTTTTTTTTGAGACGTCTCCCTTTGTCACCCTGGGTAGAAAGCAGTGGCGTCATCCTAGCTCACCTCAAACTCCTCAGCTCAAGCGATCCTCCAGCCCTGGCCTCCCAGAGTGCTAGCATTACAGGCGTGCACAGCATTACACCGTGCCCAGCCAGCCCAGCTATTTTAAGAACGACGTTCTAGGGGCTGAGGCGCTTTGGGGTACAAGCAAGGAACCCCCGTTTAGCTGAGTGTGTCACGCCCCTTCCACACACCACGCTCTCCTGTCCGGGCTCTGCCCACTCAGTGGTGTCTCTGCTGATCGCAGCCCACGAGCACCTGGAGCCTTCGGGGCTCCCTCCGAGCCTGAGTGGGTGGGAACGGGTGCGGAGAACAGATCGCAACCCCAGAAGGGGTGGAGCGTCCACTTAATGCTCACACTCCGGAGCACAACACTTGGCGGGCGCCACCTCCCTTGGTGGTCGCTGTGCCGCCCTGGGCTCAGCAAGTGGGGAAGTGGAGGCACAGAGAGGGTAAGTAACGCACCAGGGGTCACCCAGCAAGTAAGTGGTTCAGGTGAGGTTCAAAATCCAGAGCCACGTGCCCCAGTCCTGTGCCCAGCCACCTTGCTGCTCGCGGGGAGGCATCCGAGAGCTTCCTCAAACGGTTACGGGCAGGATCATCACGTGACCCAGCAATTCCACTGCCGGGGTGATACTGTACCCCAAAGAACTGAAAACGGCATTCCAGCAAGCAGCTCTGCCCAGCACTCATAGCAGCACTACTCACCTGGCCAAAGGCGGGAACGACCCACATACCCATCAGCCAGGGCGCAGGGAAACAAAACGTGGCCCACGTGGCCCGTCCATACCACGGAACAGGTTAGCAGTCGCCAGGGTGGGGACGAGGTTTCCTTTGGGGTGACGGGAATGGTTGGAACAAGGCAGAGGTGATGGCACTACACCGCAACTACACTAAATGCCACTGAAAAGTAACCATTTTATGGTACACACTTCAGTTCTATGAATTTCAGCTCAAGTTGTAGGAATTCCAATCAACTCACTTCTGGAAGCCGTTCACCGCCGGAGTTCACAGTCGGTAGAGCCACGTCCTGGCCGGGCCCGGGCAAACCCCGGGGGCGTGCAGAGGCTGCCCCGTGCTGGAGGCGGGCACCCTCCCCCCCGGGGCGCTCAGGGCCAGCAGCACCCGGCTGGGACCCTGAGCCAATAGAAAGGGGCCTCCCGGGGCACCCGGAGCCCCTGCAGCGCTCAGAGCGGGGACCCAGGTCATTTGCACTACCAGGTGTCACTTGGCCACGTTTGAAGCAGGTACTGGAGACAGGTCCCTGCACTCACACACAGCTGTCACCCTTGACTGGGCGCTCGTCACGGGCCAGGCTCTGAGCCGCAGGTCCCCCTCCGGGCTCTCTGCAGAGGGAGGGGCCGGCTGCAGCTTCGTCTTGGAGGAGGACGAGACCCAGGGCGGGAGGAAGGATGCTGAGACAGAACAGCTCGGAGGCGGGGGTCCCTGGGTTACCCCCTACCGTCTGAGGACGAGCACTGTTCAGAGAGAGATAGCTCTCCTGAGGCCGCACAGCTGGGAGGGAGCTGCGGGTATCCGAGGGGGACACCAGGCAGCTCACACCTTCCGCCGTTAGGTCAGACAGCAGAGGGTGGCATCCCAGCCTCTGTCTCTGGCCGCATCAGTCCATGTCCTTACGTGACTAGCTGCAAATTAACCCTCGTAATGCAAGGATCACGTCTGTACCTGTCACAGAAGCGAGATAGAGACCTCTGTCCCCACCCCCACCCTTGCCTCCTCTTTGCATTGGGAGCTGGTCCTTTTCGCTCCTGGCATGCTTTCCTGTCTTAGGTGGGCAGCCCTCGCATCCTCATGTTTCCCCTTTTCCCTTGCCTGCCAGGAAGCTCAGGTACTCCTACCAGTATCAACTTAGGTTTGCCGGAAATAAAGCAACCGTTGCTTGGGTCCCTCCACTGTGTGAGGAGCACCCCACCCCAGCAGCTACTGCAAATACACCGCCACCTTTAGTGTTCACAGCAAGTCTACGCCACATACAACAGACCTGCTCTATCTTGCCGAGAGGGAAATGGATTCTTAGGAAAGGTTCATCAGTCGCCCAAGGCTTTGAGATAGCAAAGGGCAGAGCCAGTGTTGAAAACCAACATGGTCCAACTCCAAAGCCAGTCCACACATAGCCCCCTCTTCACGACCCCCGCCCCACCACGCTTTGATCTTCTAGGTCTCTCCATAAACGGCCCTGTCCCAGCCCCAGCTTTCTTGGCCAGGCCCTCAATGCCACTTAGGAAGCAGACGGGTATAAATGACAAACGAGTGACCGTGCAGCCTCACTGCCCCTCCAGGTGACACATACCCACTAGAGCGACCTGCCTGGCACGAGTCCTGGTCCCAGGGCCCTTGCCCAAGAGGACGCCCTGGCCCCTGAAGGTCGGGTGTGGTGGGGCTGGTCAGAGGGGACTCGGAGAAGGGTCCTGGGTCCCCTCAGAGGGTCAGAGTCTGCACCTGCAGCCACACTGCCCCTCCCAGTGGCCAAGGGTACAGGCTGGCAGAGGGTCCCACCCTGCCCCAGCGCTCCGGCCCCTCCCCAGCCTGGTGCAGAGTGGAAAGGAACGCACCGTGGAACCGAACCTCAGGTCGCTTCTAATCCCAGCTCTGTGCCTCACGGGACAGGCGGCCTTACACTTTTTCAAGCGTCAGTTGCTTCACCTGTAAAATGGGCGCATCTAAAACATCACGCCAAGTCACGGAGCCAGACACAAAGGCCCGTTCACAGCGAACACCCAGAGCGGGGGAACCCACAGAGAGTAGAGTTGAACTCAGGGCCCCGGGCCAGAGGGAGGGAGGGAGGGGGAGGGACCGCTAACAGGTACTTGGTTTCTTTACGGGGTGATGAGAACATTCTGGAATTGGTGGTGGTGGCTGCCCTCTGCAACTATGCTCAAAACCACTGAATTGCACACTTTAAAGGGGTGAATTTTTATATTTTAGCTCCATTTTTTAAACTCATGCATCTGGACAGGCTGGGAAAAAAACACCCCAAAATTAGGTCTGTCACCACTAACCTGCTGCCTAGCCCCAGGAAGGTGTCCTCAAATGTCATCCCTCCCCCTGCCCTGGCTCTGGCACTGCTGGCTTCTAGGAGGTCAGCCCAAGACAGAGGATATCAAATTCAGCCACACCCAGAACGTTCCCTGGGCCCCATGCAGGGTGAGTGCCAGCTCAGCTGGGTCCCTGCCTGCCATCCCCTCCCTCCCCCGGGCCCTGCGGCAGACCCTGCGTCCCCTCTCACCCTCCTTGCCTGACACTCAGGTGGGCCCAGGTGGGCACCACAGGGCCACTTGCCTCCCAGGCTCTTTGGGTCCAGCTAGTGGCAGGGTAAGGGGACTCTCCTTGGGGCCACCCACCGCCAGCCCACTGGAGCGAGGACCAAACACGTGGCTGTGTGACTTGCCCTGGACACACCCCTCCGTGGGCATCTCATGGCGCAGGCGGGATTTGGGCTTTTCCCAAGCCCCGGTTGTCCCCAACGGATGCCTCAAGGTGTCCTCCGGGGCTCATCAGCTGTGCACGGCCCTCGCCCGGGCTCTGTGACCCTGACACCCCCAAAGCAGAGTTCTCCAGGCCTCCACCCCTGCCTCCCTTTTAAGGGGTGACTCGTAGCCCCTAGAAAGACGTGAAGCTGAGCCCCAGAACCTGAGCACGTGCCCTTGTTTGGAATTGCCTAGTGCTGCGAAGCACCCAACCCATTGCCTGGCTTCATTCTTATATCACTGAATTGAGGGGCTGCTCATTCACAGCGGCATTCCTTATAAGAAAGGAAAGAGGGAAATCTGGGCACAGACACACACGGGGGCGGGGGGTGACACGTCACGTGAAGACAGAAGCAGAGACTGGAGGGACGCAGCCACCAGCCAAGGGCACCAAGGGTATCCGGCAGCCACCAGGGCTGGCGGGGGGGCAGGAGCGGACCCCCCACTACCCTGTGGCTGTCGAGGGCGACACAGCCTCGATGACAGGGTGTGCCCCTCTACGCCACAGGAGGTGGGTCTCCGCCCCCCGCAGCCTGGTGGCTCGGATACCTTGTGCGCCTTGTGGGGCTGCGTCCCTTCAGTCTCTGCTGCTTCTTCTTCACCGTGACTTGTCACCCGCCCGCCCCCGTGGGTGTCTGCCCAGATTTCCCGCTCTTTGCTTGCTAATAAGATGCCGGCTGGTGAGATAATGAGCACCCGCCAATCAGTGATAGGTCTCAGCCAGTATGCAAGGGCCATCAACACTGTAATCCCGAGCTCGACTCCGCTGGAGGCGAGGGCGGCGATGGCTCGAAGAACGCAGTAGACAGTTGCCTCAGCCCGGTTGGCGGTGTGTGGTCCTGTATGTTGTCAGAGTTCCAATAAGCAGCTGAGCAGAGGTCGATGACCCGTCGTCGGTTTCTACTTAAATAGAAGAATAAGTATGGCGCAGCAATATTATATAGAAAAAAAATCAGCCAGGTAGGTGCGCATGCCTGATCCCAAGCTACTCGGAGGGCGAGGAGGAGGACGCTTGAGCCAGGAGTCTGAGTTGCTGTGAGCGTAGGCTGATCCATCGCACTCCACGTCCAGCTGGCAACACAAGCGAGACTCTCCTGTCTCAAAAAAAAGTACCGCCGAAAGAGTACGTTATTCCTTAGCCCAACTGGCCTGCTCGCCGTCAGTCACTCGGTGACATGCATAGATCAAGTTCCAAACAAGGCACGGTGTCATGTCTGGGGGCTCAGCTTCACGTCTTTCTAGGCTACGAGTCAGCCCTATAAAAGAGGCAGGGGGGATAGGCCTGGAGGACTCTGCTTTGGGTTCAGGTCTACAGAGCCCGGGGCGAGGCCGTGCAGCAGCTGATGAGCCCCGGGAGACACCTTGAGCATCTTTGGGGACGACCGGGCTTGGAAAAGCCTCAAACCCGCCGCTGCGCATGAGATGCCCACGGCAGGTGTTCCCAGGCAATCCACACAGCACGTGTTTGTATCCTCGTCCAGTGGGCGCCGGTGGTCGGCCCAAGAGAGTCCCCTGACCCTGCCACTACGCTGGACCTACAAGAGCGCTGGAGCAATGGCCCTGTGTGCCCACGGGCCACTCTGAGTGTCAGGCAAGGAGGGGAAGGGACGCGAGGTCTTGCCGCATGTCTGAGTTTATTGGAGG